TGCAAAAGTGTACTTTAAACATTAGTAATTGCAGCTGGAAAAAAAAATCCAAAGAAGTAATAGTATTAATTTATCAAATTTTCTTGGTTGTTTTGAAGCTAAGGGCCCTTGTTTAAGGGTGATACGTTTGTGCATGTGTTGTGTATAATTATAGACTTGTGTATGAATCAGATGATGATTAAGGATTGGCACTATTTTTGTTGTGGATAAGTGATAACTTGTCGTATTAAGCATGAGTAATCCATCAATAAGGAAAAGGAAAGAAAAGAAAAACGATTCATTCAAGTTACATTTTGCATCGGGATCTCCAATCCACCCTAATCAAGAACAAAGGAATTCCCACAAAATTAGGAGACACCAAATATCTACTGTTCTATTTAGACTAACTGGAGGATGACCTGTCATATTGTTACAGCTCGCAAGATATGAGTTCCAAACTAATTCTGATTCCTGTCTTAATTTCTTTGTAGATGTATTGTTCCCCAAAATTGTAGGCAGGTTGTGGGTTCTTAACTCTTAGGATTATAGTGTTTTTAGCTAATTGATTGTAAGAATTCAAGAAGAGGAAAGCCATCTTTGACTTAAGTTGATCAAGAGAGTATGTTCTTCAAGCAGATCTTTGGGATTTAATGAGGCTTCTAGATTAATCTCACTTTCTCCATGGAAAGCTCATCAGTCATTTCTTTGGTGGCATACTGAAGAAAAAACTGCTCATCTTTGCAATGGATCTAGGATTTGGTTCGGCGAGAATTTGTGATGGGGTGAAGAATCATTTCTTGCTTGTTTAAAATGTTTATCTCCATGAGGTACCAATTCATATAATTCCCACTTAATCTGGTATCTCCAATGCTGCAGCTTCTCCCTCTTGGAACTTCCATTGCTGCAGGATGCTTAATGAAGGAGTGTGGAAAGCATTATCTTCTTTTCTTCTTATTGTTCTCTTCTTCTTATTAATAGCATTTGTCTCAGTGTCCACTCGTGTTAAGAGATGCATGCGCTAGAAAAATAGTGGTTTATTTGCACAGTATTTTGAGATACATGAGCTTGGCATCTAGTGGCTATTTTCACCTAGTTCTACTTTCACCTGAATTTTATTGGATTTTCCCCTTTCTGGCCGCTAACATGATTTGGCTATTGAAAAGCCTTACTATTCATTAGGAGCTACTAACAAGGACAACACCAATGAGATGCTCTAGTCGAGAAGCATGATACATGATTAACCCTAAATTTTAGTGATGTGCAAAAGGGGTCATGAAATTTTTACTCATTTTTTCATCCTCTAGCCCATATTTTTCTCTTTGACAGAGTTCTTTTGTTTTTACTAGGATCAAGTGTGTTGGCCCTGGAACATCAACTCCTTGTTTGAGGCTTATTTGGGGATATGATTGAGTTGCAGCAATTATCCTGATTGTTCATATGGGCAGTAGGCCTGTTAGCGGATTAGATATGGGTCATATTCTATCTATGCTAATCCTAATCGGATTAACAAATCCAAGTCTGAATCTGAAGTCGAATATACAACTAATCTTCTCTTTAGATGTCTTTCTTTGCCCCTTGAAGAAGTCCTTTCAACTGAGGAAATAGAGCTGTCAGATTGATATGCTAGAATCCTCGAAGTTGTATGATCTTTTAGGGATAGTCCAGAAAAGTGGACAATAAAAATATCACCTAGGTGGAGCTTCTAGTAAAAAGTACACATGGTGCTTTCTTTTTAGATTGTTTAAATGAGCAAGAGGGGGCAAAGAAAATTTCTGGTTTTTGCTAGTTTTTGATGAAATATGATAGAATCAGTATTCATTTTGTGAAAGGGCTATCCCATATCAAAAATTACACCCAAGATTGGTTCATATAGTTGGGGAGCTACTCTACCCATCACCAGTTAGTTTTGGCTCTAACATAGTATCAGAGCTGGATGGTAGGTGATTGGTGGGTCAAGCCTCTCACCTATTTGAATTTTGGTATGTTTTTCTATCGTTTTCAGTTAAAATCAAGTTTATTTGTCTGTTTGTCTTCAATTTTAGCTCACGTGCTAGCCCAAGTCACACATGAGGGAAGGTGTGAAAAGAGCTATCCAATCGAAAAATTGATTACACCCAAGATTAGTTCATATACTTGATACTCCAGCATCAATTGTTCGGTACTTGGGTTGGATGCTATTTGCTGAAATATAATCATGTGGAACAAAATTCTCCGGTCCTGCAAAGCTCTCCATGCTGTACTTATCTTGATATATTTGTGGACTTCCCAGATTTTGTTGATTCTGTTTCCAAGTTTTTTTTTTGGAAATTTGAGTGCATGAATCCTGGATACAAATAATGTAGTTGTATTGGGTTTTCATTGGCCCTTACAAGTACCGAAACACCTTGTTTTTGTTGGTAATTTTTATCTAAACCTTTCCTTTAAACAATGTATATTTGCTGGAAGTTTTGGGATCATGAATTATATAATTTCGGTCCTAGAATGTACACGAAATGAACCTTTATAATCAAGACATTGGCATGTTTGAGATGCCATGTTGTGAGGAACCGGTGCAAGAGAATTTGTCCCAGAAACCATATCCAGTGATAACACCATTCTCGTTGAGGAAAGGAGAATTGATCTCTTGGGAATACAAAATCCAGGTTACTTGATCTTTTTGTAAATATAGTACTTTATCAGAACTTATTGTTTTCTTTTATCTTCATCGCAGGCAGAGTTGTATAGAGTTAAAAAGGCGTTTGATAAAGCGGAACCATTATATTTGGAGGCCATTAATATACTTGAGGAGTCATTTGGATTGGATGACATACGGTACACTTTCTTGTTTCTTGGTAGGCTATGCTCAATGTAAAAACTAGTTGCAAGTTGATTGATATGCTTATATGTGTATGGAGAAAGATGATTTGGATATCACATAATGGCACATGCATCTATTTGCAGGTCCATCTCTTTATTGTTTTAAGATGGATGCATATTTATGAGGATGTGTGATATCATAACCATGTTTCTAACCTTGTCTAACTCATTAACTTATTTGCATGATGTGACCGTGAAATTAAAGAGGTAATATAGGAAGAAAGATGAGAGATCCGTATGCAAAGGCAAACAAACATGAAGGAACTTTTGAAAGTGCTCCAGTCTTTGTCGGAAAAAATTGATGTGGAGGCATGGCCAAGAAAGTTGTGGCATGTGTTGTTGGCTTTGTGTGAGGTGTACTGGTATGGGTTTATGCCTACGAGTTTGGTGATTTTTTTTTTTTTTTTTGGAATACGAGTTATGTTAGAAAGACAATTAGGAAGTATAGTGATTTTTCTCTTTGCTTGGTGTGTTGTGTTTACCGCAATGAGAACTTGAATTGTTGAAGAGCAAAGTTTTCAATCAATAGATTGGAGGAATAGATAGTTAGTACAATGTATTTTTGGCTCAAACAATCTTTTTCATTTTTTTTATAGATTTTCTTGTTGAGGTTTTGTGTAATCAGTGTTTTTTATTTTGGCGTACATAAACATGTAGTTCGCTTTTTCTTGTACAAATAAATATGTCGGCGGGCTAGCGTTCTGGTAAATATGGTAAGAGTGTTACTTTCCAATTACGTTACTTTTCTATTATGTCAATTTTCCTATTATCTCTTTCTTCCTCTATTTTTCTTTCTTTTCCTCATCCTTAATATACAAGTATTCAAGTTTTAACTTGTTATCAGAGCAATATACTTGTGTGAGTGGGGGCTGTGCGAGGGCATCACTCGCCTAGGGTCATTCCCGCACACATCAAAGTTGTAGTCGTCATTGTGTTCAACAGTTGTTGTCACTGCCAAACTCACTCTAAGTTATAGTTTTCCTGTCATCGATGTCTTTTTGTTGATCGCTTGCTGTAATCACCATTAGTTGTTGTGGTTTGTGCTTTGTGTCGTCGGTGTCAATTTGATGCTACTTTAGTAGTTTTCATCCTTTTTTTTTTAATAAATAACATAAGTTTTCTTAATGATAAAAAATAAGTAGTGCAATAAGAGAGGATGGATGGACAATTAGTCCAATCCATTAGCTAATTTGGTGTCGGTTTAGTGGTTTTTAATTCAATTTGGTGTTGGTTTAGTGGTTTTCATTCTAGTTTAGTGTTTTTAGCATGATTTAGTGTTGGTTTAGTGGTTTTCATCCCAATTTAGTTCTAGATTAGTGTTTGAAGTCCAATTTAATGTCGGTTTAGGGGTTTTCGACCCAATTTGATATTGGTTTAGTGATTTTCATCTCTGCTCAGGGTTTAGTTCTGATTTAGTGGGTTTTTCCTTAGCTTATAGGTTTAGTGGTTCTATCAGTTAAGTGTTTTCAGTCCAATTTAGTGTTTGTTCTATGGTTTTTAGGTCAGTTTGGTGCTAGTTCATGATTTCTAGACTAGTTTAGTGTCGGTTCAGCTGTTTTCAGCCTGATTCAGTGTCAGTTTTGTAGTTATAAGTCTGATTCAGTATTAGTTTCGTGGTTTTCAGCATCGATTCCTTTTTGGCTGAATCAACTCTGGTTCTCCCTATGTTTGATTGTTGCGGTTGAATTTGTTTTTGTTGATGGTTCGTTATAGTGTTGATGGTTATGTTTATTTGGGCCGATGTTGTTGTCGCAGTATTGTTGTGATTGTCCTCTGCCGTCACCTTGTTCTACCCCTAAATTCAGTGTGATCGATGAGTCCGATGTTGTTTGGTCACCGACTCTGAGTTGATCATTTTATCATGGAAGGGATATGCTCAAGTAATACCACATAAAATGTTAATTCCTTCTTCATCAGCTTCTACTTTTGCTTTGTCAGTTAAATGTTAAAAATGTCCCTTTTCATGGTAATGTGTCTTAAAAGGCTTACATGGAGTAACCACCTGAGTTTGTTTTTCACCGGGAGAATTGTGGTATGCATTGATTAAAGAAGTCCTTGTATGGTCTAAAGCCGTTACCTAGACCGTGGTTCAGTTTTATTATTCTTATTGTTTATGCAAGATATTGCGATGCTGTTTGTAAAGTCTGGTGTTTAATTCTGTGATATTACCAAACCATTACCGCAGTTCACCTTTCGTAGCTTTTATTCCAAAGCTGGACATTTTTTATCTCCATGCTACAACTTTAGAGGGATTGTTAGAGTGTTACTTTCAAATTCTTCTAGTTTTCTATTATGTTGCTTTCATATTATATTTTATTTTCTTGATATTTAATTGTCTTCAATATCAATGTAATATAAATAGGTGATAGGGCATAGGCAATACATACCCTACACCCAATATTGCTTCATAATCTCTTTCTTTCTCTCTCCCAAGGATCAAAATTTCGTTTTGAAACATCGAAATGTCTAAAACGATTCCGTTTCTAAAGAGACCTAAACGAATTAGTGATGGAATTAAAATTCTAATATTTTGAGTTGTTTCATAATGTTTCAAGATGTTTTATAATATTTCAATACATTTGCACAATTTTTTCGTCATGCTTCATGGTATTTCAAGATACTTTGGTTTATTTCGATCAATGTTTGAAAAAATAATTCTTAAATTTTTTATATTTTTCATTTTGTTTTCGAAATGAGTTGAAACGTTTCCGAAATAAGTCGAAATGTATCCGTTTCTTAGGTGACCAAAACAGTGTAGCGAAACAAAATTTGATCCTTGCTCTCTCCTTCTTCCTTTTTTTATTTTTTTATTTTACTAAACCATAATATACAATTGTTCAAGTTTTGACTGTACAAAATATGTCAAGTTGGGTATCAAATCCTTTCTTTTGGGCACTTCGCGGATTCTTTTTTATTAGTTAGCAAAGAAAAAATACAACGATGAAAATTTTTCGAACACTGCTTAATGATGATATTTAATCTATGTTGCATTTATATTGCTGATTACTTGGAAGCTGTGGCTGCCTCTCTGTGTGTGTCTTTTTTTTCCTCAATTTTTTCACTCAGAATATGGTTCCTTTCTATTGCCTGGATATTGGCATATTGCTGGCATGATCAATTCAAGAATAGACAACGGACTTCACTTTTGTGATTCGTTTCAAATGAAGTCGATGATTATTCAACTGCTTGTCTTCTTCTTGTAGCACCATTAATTAAGTGTGGGAATTATATATCTGACCCCTATTAGCTGTTATTGTGCAGTGTTGGGGCTGCCCTTCACAACCTAGGTCAATTCTATCTTGTACAGCGGAAATTGGAAGAAGCTCGTAATTGCTATCAGGTAAACAGTCACCTATTGAAAAATTTAGGCCATCTTCATATGCAATGTGCAAAAGCTGATATTTTCTATGCGGCTGATAATATTGTTGTTTTTGTGGTCGCTTTTTTTCCGCAATATTTTGGACAGCGTGCTCTAAAGGTACGATCTAACTTTTGGCATCCTACTATCCTTCTTTTTAATAGCTGTTGCCTAGTAAATTTTGTGACATGTAATCTAACATTACTTTTTATTCACGAAGATAAAAAGGCATGTTCTGGGGGAGGGCCACACAGACTATGCAGATACAATGTTTCATCTGGGAACGGTAGTACTGTAGATTTTCTGTCATTTTAATTTTCCACAACAATGTTCGTTTGATTTTTCCATGCCTTTATGTGAGGTATATAATGAAGCCATCAATGTGCTGCATTCTACTATTTCATCCTGGTAAACTCACATTATTAGATTTCGTTTACGTATGTTAAAAGTAAAGGCAAGGTAGTCTCATGTCTCTTAACTATGTGTGTGTACAGATCTGATGTATGACTCCTCAACTATGGAAATAAAATGAAGATACGGAATAATATGAGTATACAGATCAGGTGTATGTGATTCCTCCATTATGGAAATAAATGTAAGTTCTTTAGAATTTGGCAGAAACCTATAAAGCATGGTAATTCTACAAGTTTAATCATCTTGTTGTGCTTCCAGGGATGGATATTTCTTCCATAATCGCTGAAGAACTTTCTCCAATTTATTGGTAAACCATGGATCAAAATTTTGCTTGGAAGCATTATTACCGTGGTTTTGGAAACAAAAATGTTGCGGGAAGATGGTGGAAAAAATGAGAAATCAGGAGAGATATAAAAGCACGTAGTAACCTTAATTTCAATAAATTTATCCATTTCTTTCAAAAAAAAATTTAATGAATAAATTTATCCATAAAGAGAAGCAGCAGGCGAACTCTCTCAAAATCATCATTCTGAAGAGCGCAATCTTTTGTGAAATTGTTGTTCATAATGTTGATTTACCATTTGCGATTCACTATTTTTCATATTTTCTCTTATTGGAGCATCTCTCAATTATTTTTGGTTGATCAAGGACTATTTATACTGTGATAATTCTATCAGTTCAGGCCTTTCTAGAACATCTTAGCGTGTTTATACTCATTGTATCTGGAAGTTGTTAAAGAGCTTCTTTACATTTTCAAATATTGGCATTATTTTTGTTGTTGTCAACCAACCTTTTAAAGTTGGATCATTTCTCTAGGTGGGTCTTAATTTTTCTTTCTTGTTTCTATCTTTGTCCATGCTTTAGTTGTGCGACTGACATGAACTATCTGACGCAACATACAGGTGTTATATCTTCAGGGAAAAGAGAAGGATTCTGAAGCCCTCATTCAGGATTCTATTTGGATACTTGAGGTGCATAATTTGTTTTTGAAAACATATGCTGCTTTTAGACATTTTAATGTTACATATGTAAGTTTCTTTCTTCTTATTCTGTGCATTATCTGATCATGCAGCAAGGTGGGCTCGGAGAATCTATGATATGCATTCGGAGACTGCGGTATCTTGCTCAGGTTAAGCCTCAATTTACCATGCATCTAGTGAAGGATGGATTTGTTTGTGGGCATTATTTTATTAACACATATACAGTGATGGCAATTAGGGCATTATTGAATCTCTTGTACAGCCAAGCAAGAGTGTGGCTGTTTGTGCAAGTCCAGCTCTTTACAAGTGAACTAGGGAAAAGAATTAACCCAGATCTGCAGTTAAAATGTCATACTCGAACTGTAATTGAAGTTTGTGTTTACGTGTTGGACATTTATACATACCAGTTGGTGCACACGTGTATTGCACGCCAATTATTGAACTTTTGTAAAAAAAAAAAATAGATAAATTGAACTAATTTTCTTCACATGGACGATTACACAAAGTGGCATTGCTGATGTGGGGCAATTGTTACGTTCAAGATTTTTCTTGTATTTTGGGTTGTATGAATTGAATTGTATAATGTTAAAAAAAAATAAAAAATTGAATTGCATTGCATTTAAAAACTGTAATGTTAAACTTTAGTAAGTGATTAATAGATGGATGACTATTGATTTCTTGGACTAATAAGAATTTACTACCATAGGTTTTTATTGTCTTTTATTTTTAAGTATAGTATTATTAATTAAGTTTTTTTGACAAGTATTGACATTCAAAAGTAGTATATAGATTATTAGATCTATACAAATATTTATTTTTTAGCAAACTTGGATATGCACTACACATGTACAAACATATACAAAAATATGATGTAATTTGGTGATTATTTAATAAAATTGAATAGAAATCCATACTTTAAATGTTAAAATCGTCTTCAATCAACTTATTCGAACCAGAACAGATATCTATTTTAACGGACTCATATGCACCGTGAAAAATAAAATTTATTGGATAATTGAATTGGATTCGAATTACATTGTTTAAATCAGATTTGAATCGAATTTATATTATTTAAAAAGAAGATAATCAAAAGTCAATCAATGAATTTATTAGTTGAATTAATGCAACTAATAAAAAAATAAAAAAGTTCCACAAAAAATGATAAAGTAGACATTAAAGAATTTTTGAAGGATAAATAAGAAAATCAAAATTTTTTCTCTTAATCCACTTTAAAAAGGATAAAATAGACATTATAGAATTATTGAAGGATAAATAATAAAATCAAAAATTTTTCACTTAAGCCACTTTTATTAGTAGTATTGATTAATGGTCAGTTTGAAATGTGAGGAAGTTATCTGAGGGTTGGTATTTCTTTGAGAGCTGCCATTATAAAACTTCCCCACCCAACCCTAAGGGGGCAAAAAAATAGTGGGCAGTATAAGATGATGTTGATGGGAATGGATAATTTTATTTTGTTTGGCTAAAATTGTATTGATTTTAAAAGAATAAATAGGATCATATTGTATCATGTGAGTAATGATAAAAGTGGTATCTTTTCCCTCCTTAATCTTCCCAAGTTACGTCTTCAAATTTCAGATGAACTGATATATTTGGTGTTCAGAGTTGGCTGGCTTGGGTGAAGATAACATCATGGATTTGAGAAGTAGAGGTTCTCTTAGAAGATTGGTTTGGAGCCAGTTCTTAACTCAAGTAAAAATTACTATATGGTTGTTCCCCGAATCTTCCTGGTTTAGTGACCATATTTACGGAACACCAAGATTAGCTTGCACATTCATTCAGTATGCAGATTTTTCTTCCAACTTTTAGCATTGGTCTTGTCCCCTAGCCCCAGAAGGGTTCCCCCCACTTATGAGTGGGATTCAAGCTCCCTTAGCTCCTAACTTTGAAATAATTGATCATTCTAATGAGGTTCTTAGTGGTCTAGAGGCATTTGTCAGTGCGATAACACCTGTTTTCTTGATATAAACTTAATGTGCATCTGAAAAATGATCAATGCATGTCCATCACCTGTGAAGCACTTTATTATTTGAGTTGGGAAGAAAATGTTTGTATTCTAGAAATGTCAAAAAGTCGAGAGTCAACAATTTCAACAATTTTTTTCCGGAAATAATTCGGAGCTGAAATGATTGTCTTGCTGCTGCTATAATTCATTGTTTTTCCAAGGTGATGAACATATACATGCTCAAAATGCTTCCTGGCCTCACGATTGTATGCCTATGCTTTTTCATATTCGTTCTGATCATAATGATACCAATTACCACTGCTTTGTATTCACTTCAACTGCAGTACTCATATTTTTTATGTTTGCCTCTCTTTAATCTAAATATGCATTCCATGTGTCTGGATGCTTTACCTCTCTCTTGTTCAAGCTACTTATATTCTTTCTATTTTTTTTAGATTTATGTAAAGTCCAATCGACCTGCAGATGCTGAGAATGTACAGAGAAAGATTCTGCGTATGATGGAATTATCAAAGGTTTTACCTTTCTGTTTTCCCCTTTCTTTCTTTCTATTCTGGTTTACTCATTTCGTGAAGGTGTATTTTGAATTTTATTACTTTATGAGTGCCTTCAGAAGACACTGTTTATGTTTAATGTAGCTAAAGATTTTACTTTTAATTTCCTCCTCTTCTTTGTGGAATATGTTCTCTCTTTTATTTTGGTTCTGATTGCATTGTGTGGCAGCATTATAATGCTTTCAATGAAAAGTTCCGTTTTGTAAATGTATTCATATGTACTGAAATTGGTCCATTCATCCAGTTTTCTTTCATTTTTGATGTCCAAGCTCTTTTCTAAATCTGGAAGTAACAACAATAAACTTGTGTTTATGAATTGCATTGCACCTGTGTGATACTTCTTTATGTTTTTTATGCATCCTGTACCTTTTTCAATAAGAAACAACTATTTTATTAATCTATCTATACTACTTATCTAAGAAGCATGGACACGGATATGGGATACGGGATACGGATACGACACGATACGGACACGCCGATACGATATTTTTGAAAAAAGTAGGACACGGGCACGTTGATGACACGCTACAAAAAAATTATATTTTATATATGACATTATATAATTTATTGTAAATATAGTGATAATAATATACAATTTATAAAAAAATCAGTATTTTATGATAAGAAAACCTAATGTCTAGTCATCTATGTGAATTTTTAGACTAAAACGTCCTTATTATAGTCAATAATCATCAATTTTTTTATAGACAATGTGTACCTAATATATAATTTAAATAATTATTCTCATTTTTTCAATTCCTCTTTTTTAAAACTTTTATGCATGTTTTGTTTTTATTATTATATTTGGAGTAAAACTTTAATATGTCTAGTATTAGTAATTATATTTTCTCAAATTTTTAAGATTTGTTAATCACATTTCAACAAATGTCTATTGTTTAATAGTAGACATATTCTAAAAAAGTGTCAGACACGTCATCAAAGAAGTGTCCGATACGTGTGCGAAATTAAAAATTTATCATTTAATTATAGACATGGATAAAAGAATATTGGACACGTGTCCGAAGAGTGTCGGTGTCCAACACGGATACGTCACGTTCTCGAGAGTGTCCGTGCTTCATAGCTACTTATAAATGGTAACATCTGTGAAAATTTTTTTGATTTCCTATTTTATCCCTAATTATTATAATAAAGTCAATTATACCCACTTATATACTTTCATCTTTTGAACTCATTCATTTGTAGTATAATTATATACAATTTTCTATATCTATATGAAAAATAAAGTTATATATATGTTAAATTATTATATACATGAAGTTATCAGATTTAATTTCACGGTTAAATATATCTTATATTTTATTTTTTGGTATGCAATAATATAATAATATTATAAGCGATTTAATCAATCTATTCAACAAAATAAAAATTAATAATTCTATAATATGATTAAATGTACAAATACCTAAAGGGGTCAGAGCGATATTTAAATAAATAATAGATTAGGTACTCAAAGAATTATAGAATAAATTAATAATTAAATTTAGTAATAATTAAAATATGGATTAATTATTCAACACTTAATTTATTGTTTAATTTAATTATACATTTAATTTTTTTTTTTTTAAATATTATTTAAATTTATTTACATGCAATGCACGTCGTGTCGTGTATTGCTAGTAATAATAAAAGTGAGAAAAATGATAAAAAAAGCCCTTCAAAGGTTGACAAGTTGTTCAACCCACTGAAGAATAAAAGTAGACTCAAAACAAAGCAAAAGTTGATCAATGAATCCAAATTACAACTCGCATGATGCTTTCCAATTCGCCATAATGCTAGAGAGCAGAGTATTATCAAATTCCTTAGTCATCAATGCCCAAAAAGAAGCCAATAAATGAATCTGATCCCACAACCACTCAAACTCCTCCCATTTTCATCAAAGGTTCTTGCATTTGTCTCCTTTCATACAAACCAAATAGTAGCACCACGCCCTTTCCACATTCGTAGCTGCAGTGTAGGTGGGATTCAATCAAGGATCAAAATGTCGTGTCGACACGTCCGAAACGTTTCGGAATTTCAACACTCCAAAACGAAACAGTAGTTGAATCACAAAATTCCAGTGTTTCGGTCGAAACGGTACTGTTTCGGACCGTTTCGGTCGAAACGACATTGTTTCGAACCGTTTCGACAAAACAGTGATATATTCGATTCATTATGAATAATTACATTTAATACCCCATTATAATTACATTTAATACTCATTGTAATTACATTTAATACTCACTATAATTATATTTAATATCCCACTATAATTACATTTAATTCCCATTGCTCTTTTGTCTTTTATAATTTTTTTGTTATAAGAATAAATAATTACACTTAATACCCTACTATAATTATATTTAATACCCATTATAATTATATTTAATACATACTGTAATTATATTTAATACCTCACTGCTGTGCAAGTTTTTTGCTTTTTTTTTTTGTTATAAGTATTAACAATTACATTTAATACCCTAATGTAATTATATTTAATACCTACTGTAATTACATTTAATACCCATTGCAATTACATTTAATTTTTAAGTATACATAAGTATCATTAATTTAATTTGATACCCTTCATTATTAGTATTATAATAAAATAGTATTATTAATTGGATTATATTACCGTAATAATATGATTTGGAGTAACTATTGTCATCATATTTATGTCACATATGGAGTTTGTCTAAGTAGCTACCCAGAGCCTACACCGATGTATGAGCCTGCTCGACACTCCACAGGGGAATGGATGTAACCATGTAAGTATGTACTCATTAGCATTTCATGTGTATTATAAGACCTTAATATTATGTAAAAATGTGTTTATTTCATAAAAATTAAGTGTTTGAAACTAATTTAAGTGACTTTCGCCTCAAGTCAAGCCTTTTTTTCCCTCAAATTTAAATTTATTCTTGTATAAATTGATGTTAACCTAATAAATATGTTGAATTAATAAATTATTTAGCATATCTTTATAAATTAATGGATTGCATTTGTGTTTCTATGCGTTTCCATATTTTTTCTGCGTTTCCATTGCGTTTCCGAAATGTTTCCGAAACGTTTCTATTTTTGAGTTGACCGAAACGGTACTTCGAAACGAAATTTTGATCCTTGGATTCAATCCCCTGTTGCTGAGCCCTTTTCCTCGGTATGCACCTAGAATTAGACGGCCTCTCCTCGGGAGTACAATGCCAAGGATTTTTCATTTTCTTTTTCCTCTGAACCCATTAAAATCTAAACAAAATATAGATGTCATTGATCTCAGTGTCACCTAACAAAGGTTAACAAAGTCAAATAATTTGTACCAAAGAGATAAAGCCATAGGACAGTGTTAGAATAGATGATCAACACTCTCACATTTCCCTTTACACATTACACACCATTGTGGTGAAAGACAAGTCGTAGGTCTCCTCTTTTGAAGCACATCATTAGTATTAATTTTATTACGAGCAATTATCCATGCACAAATTTGCCCTTTTAAAGGAATCTGGGCTTTCCAAATCTTGAAAGAAGGATGGAATAATGGGAATGAAGAATTATCAATTAAGGATTCAAAATAAGATTTAGAAGAGAAAACACCTGAAGTCTCACTACTTCAAACTCTTTTATTGATAGAATTTAGGGACAAAGAAACATTATTGAGCATAGAAAGTAGTAGCAACAACTCCAAATGTTCCTATTATTCCTATGAAATCCAAAATCCCAAGAGATTGAAAAAGAATAAGAAGTTACTAAAGATGCAATGCCCATGATAACTAGAAAAGACGAGGACATAGACTAGAAAATGAAGACTCTCCTCACTATATATCCTCTCAAAAACGAATTCTCTTTCCATTTCCCGTAATGAATTTCACCCTTTGAGAAAAGTTAAACAACCACTAAGAAATAAATTTTCATAGTCTCCAGAATGTATCCGTTTCAACCTCGTTAGCATCCCACCCATTAGCCTCTAACCCATATTTGCTTCTAATAACCGTATGCTATAGTGAATCTTGCTCTAATGGAAATCTCCACAACCATTTTCCAACCAAGGCCATATTCAGTTTCTACAAATTCCACACTGAAAGTACTCCTTTCGCTTTAGGCCTGGACACAACATCCTAACAAATCAAATGATCTTTCTTTCCTTCCCCATTTTCTTCCCATAGAAAATCCCTCATCATCCCTTCAATTCTCCTTACCACCAAACAAGGCATCCTAAAGAGAGACAAGAAATAAATATGGATACTTGCCAACACAAACTACACTATTGTTAATTTACCCCCTCTTGAAATAAAGACTTTCTTCCAGTCATCTAACATCCTCCCTATCTTCTCAATAACAGGATCCCAGAAAGATGTAGACATCGGATTACCACCTAAAGGAAGACCTACATCCTTCAATGGACAATCACCCACAAGACACTCGAAATCCGTAGCCAACCTCTCAATCTTCTCCTGGCTGGAATTTATTCCTATAATTAAGCTTTTATCCATAATAACCTTTAACCTAGAGACCATGCCAAACACCTCAACAATCTTTTCTAAATGCGTGCTGTACTCAACCCAAATCGCATGGCGAAATGTGTGAAGTGCATTATAAGAGTGAGTTGTGATACTTTTGGATTTACATTGTACAACATGTTTTCAAGCCGAGTGGGGTAGCCCAAAGAGGAGAATATTATGTTGTGATGGGTCCATTGCTTAGCATTACATGTTGTGTCATCAGTGACCAGCGACCACTCTGTAATAATGTTCCTAACAAGTGTAGGTGCTCTTTAGGGTTGAACGCTCGGAAATATGCAAGAGTAGGGTTTGATTTGGTGGATCACCTCTTGATTTATCTGAACTATTCTGCTGGACAGGATGTTAGTGTTGCCTATAACTTGGGGAATTCTCACCCCTGATCCTCTTGCTTACATACTAGGCCAAGATTGTATGTAAAGATCTGGTAGCGAGGCAGTTTCTCCTTCATTACAGAATGAGTTAATATAGATTTTCCCAAAAAAGAATACCAATCTGATCACTTTTCGATTGTTTCTCTTTTTTGTTTTCACTTTCTTGGATCCTCTATGTTCTTTTGACATTGGGTGTACGTTTTTGTCTTAACCAACAAATCAGAGGCTGTTTTTGTATGACACCACATGTAAGTGAAGAACAAATACTCATACATGATCTGTAGGCTTGTCAATTTAATTTAAAAATCTTTTATTCTAAGATTTTTTTTTAGCAAAAAATGTTTGTAGGACCTTTAATTTTCTAAGATTTCAAAGATATTTGAAAGAGGTGAACATCAATTGTTGTCCAAAGCACTTTGCCTTAAATTTCCTTTTGTTTTCTTTTCTGATCATTTCAGTCTGAACCTTTATTGTTTTAATACCATGCCAGCAATCATGCTATTTTTGGACCATATCTTTGTAGTTATTCGCATGCATTCTCTTTCTCAAGTTGGCTTTGTAATTTTGACTTATGGTACTGTTTACATTTGTTTTATTGGCTTGCTCGTTTCTGCTTATTAAAAGGTCTCACTTATTGACGTGAGACAGCACATTGCGTTTTGGCCACTGTTTTGCTCATTTCTTCTTATTAAAAGGTCTCACCCATCATGTTGGGTATTTTTTGTGATTTTTTTCCTTTTTCTTTTTCTTTTGTTGTGTTGATGAATGAGTTACAGTATCTTATGATACAGGGATGGAATTCATTGGACACTGTAATTGCAGCTGAGGGCCTTGCCCTGACCCTTCAGTCGGTGGGGAGCTTGAGGGAAGCACAAGAGCTCCTAGAAAGGTAAATTGATAATCAGTCTAACTGAATAAGCAGTAACTTCCAAATGAGAATAAATGCTTTATTTACCCATTACAGATGCCTTGATGCCCGAGAAACCTTACTTCCGAAAGACCATATCCAGGTGTGGTATTTTTGATTCTCCCTCCCCAAAAAATTATCCCAAAAAGAAAGTTCCTTGTACATTTCTTTCTCATTATATCTGCTTTTGTTGTCAGTGCTGTTTGCTGTGGTTCTTGCTAAATTTTTATAACAATAGTCAACATCTAGTTGAGCTAAATCGTGTACAAAGTGAAAGATTAAAGGACGAAACCTTCATTCTCTTTTGTTTGGTCCTCATCTCTTGTTTTCCTGCGATTTTAATGAAAAGAAAAAATTGAGGATACATTTTAATTAAGCTTGATTTCTTTCTATGATGACAGATTGCTGCTAACATGCTACACATTGCCAGAGTGGAAATGCTCATTTCCAGTCAACAGAGGAAGACAAATATTGCTAGAGCGATTGTTCATCTTGACAAGTCAAAAGATCTGTTAGACAATGCGATAAGGTCTGAGTTATTCTCTGTTTCTCTGATGAGAAATAAAGTCACATACCTTTATTGTTTTTTCATTATACGTCTTTGCCGCATACATATTAGGGGAGCTTCTTTGGGTCCTGTTCTGGACCCAACCAAGCACTCAAGCACCAGATTGTGTGCACTAAAATGCAGCTTTTTAAGGATTCCAAGGTGAAGGAGATCTAACACTAAAGTAGATGAAGATTTGGTACGTGTGTTGACCTTCCTTCGCAACATTGTGCTCCTCAAACTTGTATTGACGAAGGGGGTTAATTTGATCATGACATTGGAAGGCTTTTGGTGGAGCCTCCTGTAGGCAGGTTAGATAAGGATGCTAGGTGTGTAACTTAATGCCCAGTAACGCATTAAACTAAGACTGTGTTTGGATTCTGCAGAGACCCCTATTGTTTTTCAGCTGAGAAAGTAGTTCAGTCCGTGAGAACATTGCAATTTTTAATGACTCGAATGGATGTGTGTAGTTTTATCTTATACCGTATCTCTTGACTTTTCCTTAAAAAAATAATTTGAACTCTTCCCAACATTGATCTATGAATGTTGCTCCATTGTTTCATCTGCTAGCTATTCACAATATAGTTATATGAAATACTATAGGATTTTTTCAATTCAGACAATTTTGAGGGTTAAGAGAAAAGAGTTCAACATTGCCAATGCTTGATCAGTTTGTCATCTTTCTGTGGTGTTATATCTTATTTAATCATATGCAGCATTTTCTCCATGACAGGATAGCTCAACAGGTTTTGGATAAAATGACACAGCAAAAAGGGAATCAGCAATCCATTGGGGTATCCAGAGAGATGAGAAAAGCTGGGCATACAGCTTTAGTTATACTGGTCAGTTTTCTTTATTTGTGAACAATCTATTAAATTGGTCTGCTATCAATGTTACCAGTTCTCTGTTTACTTCATGATAATCAATCGTACAGGCTAATGTTCAAGAGTATGGAGATTCTACAGTGGTTACATTCAACTTATTTTCAATATCTCTCCAATTCTTGCATGTGATTTTCCGTTCTGTCAAAAGATGTCAAGGGTTGTCTTTTGCACTAAATGTATGGTGGAGTTGGTGTATAACATATTACTCTTATTAATCCTCTCACGGTAGAAAATCATTAAATATTTCCAACTATGAATAAGGACAAGGTTTCAGGGAAGTGCATCATGTGCTTTTACAATAGTTTAATACTTCATTTTTGCTTTTATTGCATGAGGGCTTGATATTACTCATGGTCAGGTAGTTTTTTTCTTTTTATTGTTGTGGTCTCACAACCATTACAGCGGGATGCTGAGGAATGATCACTTATTGTCTCTTGATCATGAACAATACTTGTGAAACACCTAGACAGATTTGGACTAGAAATTTGGGCCAGAGGGAGAGTTTTCTGAATGTATTTTTTAGAATTTTGTCTTTTAACTATGGTATCATTTCTACATGATATCCCAGTAGTACACGTATTAAAGTGTTTGTATTAAGACTTCTGATTCCTGCGAAAAGGATGTACTTATATTTCATACCCCAAGGGTTGTTTATCTAACTCCACATGATATATATTTTTTACTTCTCAAATCACTTCCCTATCCCATTCAAGCCTGGAGCAAAAATATGCCAAATAGTGTCTCAGGCATTGGACAAGAAGTCTAATTTTCGAGGATTCGACTTATCAGGCGTCATTGTGATTCTAGCACAGGACTGTTCTACAGGCTGTGTAAAAGAAATGAAAATATATACTATGCCAATGCAATAAGTGGTTATCAGTACAATTTTTCTGTTGATATGGATGTATCCACTTTTATATAAGTCTGAAGATAATGGGAAAAAGAATTGGATCCAACTTTAGAGGCTTTGTCATTGTGAATCTAGCATAGGAGTGTGGCTTATAGGCCCTGGTGTAAAAGAACATGAAAATGGGGGGAAAACAATGGCAATGGATTATATAGAACTTTACATACATATATAGTAGCGCAATCATGGAAGCTATGCACCATAGTATCTGGCTAAGAATTTTTCATGTGGACCGTTAGATTGTGGTCGCATAGTCTCTGGTAAGTACTTTTCATGTGGACTGTTAGATCATGGTGTAATGACCACAATTCAAAGAAGACCAAAATTAAATGTAAAATCCTACCATACTTGTCTATTAACTAAAAAGGCAATTTCAGTGTCATATCAATTGTAATCCTAATCTTATTAGGAAGTGTATTAATTTTTTTTGAAATTGATCTTTTAAAATTAAGAAATTTTTTTTATTGTTGGCAGATCTTTGTCGGACGTGTCAACCTAGTGACTCAGCCGATTCATATCATAACCAATCTTTAGATTTCTGAAGTTAATGTTTCTTCTACAAAGTCTTACTAATTGCTATCAAATATAACTATAGATGGACAGACTTTCACCTTTTCACCTTCAATAGAAGAAGGCATTCCCAGATAAAAAGGCACCTCCCTCCAATAAGTGTACACAATATATACATTACCATGATTTTAAGACATTACTTTAGTTGTAGATGATGCATAAACAATCAAAACTGATTAGATTGACATCTCTGGACTACTAATCCTCGCCAACTTCAAACATTTAAAACTCAAATCCAAAAGGATTAATTCGCAGAGGGAGAAGAACGAGTTTTCAGTAATGCACTTTGATCATATAATGATATATTTTCCTAATAAGATGAGGTGGGAAAATTGATGATGCAAGAGTAATTGATTAATATCAGACAAAAATGGGTCTGGACTTATTGGACAAGACTTGACAATAGTCGGGAAAAAATTGTTAATTTTGAAAGATATAATTTCAAAAGAAGTTTAATATGCCTTCCTAATAGGATTAGTATTATAATTAAAATGGCATTGAGATTTCCTTTTTAATTGCTAGCCAAAGTTTGGAAGGTTTTAACATTTGATTTTAGGCTTGTTTGAGTAGTAGCCGTTAGATCATGATCTAATTGTTCACATAGAAAGTACCCACAAAAGACTATGGTGCAAAGTTTCTATTATTGCACTATGCTATATAACTTTTCTCTTGATATGAATCCATCGGTAATGGAAAATAGCGAAGTCATTGGGGACCTTGTCAATTGAGATTACATAATTACATAGCATTTAAAATTAGATTTCCTGCAAACATCCCATGTGCTTATTTATGATATGTAATTGTTTAAAGGCCAACAAACTATTTTCTTCGGCTAGCAAATTGTAGCCAAAATACACGTGTTGTTGATGCAGTCCGATATTAAGGCAATGAAGGCAGGATACAGATATTTGTTATATTTTGGATGCTGACATTTTTTTAATATTGTGGTTGTGAGAGTATTTTGAGGCGAAATTGATTGGTCATAGATATGTCTGCAGCTGCAATCACTTAATGCTCTTGGGCAATTGGAAATCAGTAAGGCGGAACTGCAGGATTCAAAGGTCAGTGTTATGCTTCATGGTACTGTCTAATTTCTCTTTTCTACTAACGAACAGTGATTGATGGAAGCTCTTGTCAATATGGATCAAATGACTTCTCTTCCTAGTTCCTATCCATTCATTACCAAAGTCCTTTTCTCAAAGTCATGAGTTTTGATTAACTCCATTTTTTATCTGTGGAGTGCACTCATAGGCAGATCTGTCTTTCACGCACAAAAAAGGGGGCACATTATGACATCAATTCAACTTTCGAAGTTACAAGTTTTTTGTGCCAGTTTTCTCCTGACCAGATATTGTCCAAAAATGGTGTTTTCACATCTATTGGACATTGGGGTTGACAAGGGACCCACTTTTTATGTCGCACGATGGTGGACCAGTTCAGAATACAGTTTAGAAGGCAAAGGTACCTGAACAGTACAAAAATGCTACTTGAATAATCTCTCGTAATGCTTTTCCATTCAGAAGAGCTCTGGCCACCCATTTGAAATGGAAGAAATTGATTTCTATTCTGTGGTATGACAACCGAAACCACTGCTCATTTCATACACAACTGCAGACAAGACGATATGAGACAGTTAATGAGTCTTAGAATGGATAATTTTTGCCAATACTGGATCAAACACTAACTAAATCTTCAGGTCTTATGTATTTTGCTTCCAAAGAACCTGAATCTGCCTTTGTTAGTTGAATTTCTGTAGAAAAGCTTCGCTTTGGAAAAAACAAAGTGGTTTTTGAGTTCACATATCTTGATCTACGTGCCTTAGTCCTTTTAGGTGCCTGGGCACACTTTACCAAAGCTAAAGCAGTGAAACTTAGTTGTCAAAAGCAGAGAATATTCCCTCCCCTGCTGTGGTCATTGCTACATCTATTTACGGAAGTGTGAGAGATCATTTGCAAAATTCACAGGTGCTGCTAGCAGTCATTTAGGTGCTTGGGGATGACACAACAGGTCAACATTGCTACTTATACTTACAAAGTTAACTACTATTTGTTAAGGAGTCTGCAATGTGGGAGGGAGTGGGAAAGTTTCCCAAATCAGTTTCTCTGGGCTTATGTGTGCTTCATATACCGGTTGGGCATCTCCAGCTAATAGCTTAACCTTTTGGGCTGGTTTTCCTAACACCTTTGACCTTATCCTTTGTTATTGAGGACGTAAGGAAATCGTGACAAGAGTTTCACCTGCGATGGCTACATGCGCCATAGTAAATGATTTTTCAGGGTACCTGCGAAGATCTTAGGTTAGCAGTTAGGATGCAAGTCATTTTAATATTGTGTCATTTGTGTTTCAATGATAGGCATCTTCCTGTTCTTGTTTTATTTATTAAACCGCCACTCCCACCCCAACAGGAAAATAGAATTTCTATTAGGTGCTCACTGCACAAAGCTCCTTGCTGTGTGGGAGTGTCAAATGTACGCAGCTTTGCCACTGCTTGCGAGAGACTATTTCACAAAACTAAATTTTCCATTTTTATAATCAATTTCTAATTTGTGGTTTTTTCCTCATTTTTTTTTGAATTTGTCATTTCGTCCTTCGTCATCTTATTCACTCTGATTATAAGGAAGGTATTTCACTTTGCTAGATTTTTTGTTCTTTTTGTTTTGTTGTAAAGCAGGAGAAAAATACACCAGTTCTTGACCCTGAGGAAGCTTTTCATCAGTGCATTTTGGCTTTCAAAGAGGTATATGCAAAAAAAAAAAAAAAGATTCATGAAACGTTGCCACCTTTTAGTGTCCCTATCTGCAGAAAATTCGTGCAAAACTGTTGATAACATTGGCGAGCAAAATGTAGTGTTTTTAGGCTCTTGATAATTTTGATTGCTTCTTATTTTGGTTATTTCAGTGCTGCTTTTGTGCACTTGATTTCTGTTTTACTACCTGGTTAGGGTAGCAATGGAGTGAATAGAAAGGAGGGGAGTAAGACTATTGAGTGATCATCACTTGGGATCCCAATTTTTCATTAAGCTTGAGTTTGAAGATGAAACAATCTTTCTATTTAAAATTTTTTTGTTATTCCATTTTGCACACTAATGGTTCAGGAGAAATTTAAAACTAGACCTTAAAGGAAATGGAATCTATGGTTAAGCAAAGCTAGCCTAAGGAACTTATGAGTTTGAGAGAGGATGAAATGCTACATCTGTTCTTAGCCAGGAGCGTTTGTCTAAGGAAAAACCATTGGGTTCTATGAACTGGGAATAATAAGTGGGACTCAATGCGTAGGAAGTCCTGATGTACTTGTTTGCTGTTAAATGACATGAAAAATTAGCAAATGGTGATAAAACAGGTGCGTTTTTGAAAACAATTTGATTGCCACAAGAAACGACCATTTGGAGTAAGCAATTTAACTATCGAAATCACTATTTTGACCTCCTTATGGTTAAATTTCATTGGCCAAAGTGGTTTTCATTCAAATCACAGAACTGAAAACCCAAAACCTCAATGTAATCATACATGGGCTATCAAAATTGGTTAATTTTTATTCCTGTTGTCAAATACCTTTTCTTTTCTGCACTGCATTGTAATAGAAACGATTTTTTTCTTAGTGCCTTGCAAAAGATCGTGAGGTAATACCACTTATATTGGGAGTTCAGTAGCTAGGAACAATACCGAAGCAAATCATTAACTTACCAACATTAGCCATTTTATGAGACCAATCTGAATTTCTAATCACATACGGATATATTGGCCAAAAGGTAAAGTGGTAGAAAATTACAAAATCAGTGGGTATAGTAATTTTGATTTGCATTCATTTATGAACAAAGATGGATATAGACAGTTTATCAAGTTATGTACTTTCATTTCTGTGCAGTTTGCAAGTGAGAGATCATTGTCCGATTCTCCTGAAGTGAAGTTTGAATATCTATCGTGTCTGAAGCATCTTTCTAGTCTGATGAGTACCAAGGGGATGGATCAAGGTAGAAGTGGCACTTTGCAAATGTTGAAAGATGAAATCAAGCGTGTTGAACTCGAACTCTCACCTGATAAAATGCGTAAAAATTGAACCGTTCAGCTGAATCAAAATGAAATGAGAAGCATACAGCACGCTAGTAAGAGCCAATTTGCAAGTTGTGTTTAAGGATGAGAACAAGCTTGTCGAAGTTGGACCCTCAGACTACAGAAAGTGATGATATTAGACCTGCAGCCGATTATGATTGTGCTGGCATTTGAGGATGTCAAATGATGTCTTGCCTTGCAGCAGAGCATCCACAAGTTGCGATGCTTTTAGGATATATATATGAATTGAGGCTATAAAATTATTTTTTTTTCCCCGTTCTCCCCTTTGTCCTCCGAGCATTGTTATGATGTCCAAATCAAAACTCAAATTTTATATCCCAAATGCATGCGCACTCTACACATCACTTTGTGGGTCTCAAAAAATCAGCTTTTTTTTGTTACTTTTTGCTGTACAGGAAGTGTCAATTGGACCATTGAATATAATTTGGGGATCTACTACATTTGTGGCCATTGGATTACAGTAGGTTCCAACATTGTGAAGTAAAACATTGATTCAAAGATCACAATGTGTTAGGTTCTTAATTAGATTTACAATTAGGTATAAATAACATTGTTGAAAAACTACATTCTGGGTGGGAAACATTGTCTCGTGTCAAAACTGGTGCCCAAATTGAGTGGGTTTAACCTCTTTCCCTTTGGCCGAACCTGAAATTTCGTTCTGAGGTCTGTTGGCAAAATTGATCCTTTAGCCTTGGTAAATTATGTTGTGTTCGATAAATAATCTGTTTGTATGTAAAATTGCTTGGTCAATGTCGTCAAAAGTGCGTGTTCAAAAATAAAAAATGTCTTCAAAAGTGACATTGTCATTGGGATAAAACCAGGATTATTTTCGGCCAATTTGTTTCAAAGGCAAATAGGTAGTAAGGCTCATCATGTGGTGCTTGTGGGGTTGGGTGTTAAAATATGAGACCAACATGACATAGAATTAGATAGTTTGAGTTTTTTTTTACTTTTTATGTTATCTATTTTGTAAATGAGTGGATCAAATATGACATGATTGATAGACGAATCGGATAAGAGTGAAATCAATTAAAAAAAATATGCAATATGACTTGTTTTTATATTAGTTATACACGATTTATACATGAAACGAACTTGATATAATATGATTCGTTAAACATGAATTAATAAATAAATTAGATATAAATAAAATATTCTTTTTGATATAAACTCACTAAAACTCGACACGAGCCTATTTCATGAAACACAAGTGACAAATTTACCTGTGTGCAATATGTCAGTATGTTGGACCACGACCTAGGCATTCTCAACCCTCCTCCACAATCTTCAAACGTAATAAACTAATATTCTTGTTTGAATTTGGATAATAAAAGGGAAAATTGGGCCGGTAAATAATATAAGACTTATTAGGAAAAAATATACTTTTTTAAAATATTTGTAAAGAAGTCCGCTCACTATAGTTAAAGTCCAAAATGATTTTTTGAAGTTGAAGAGTTCCTTCCATGACAAAGGAAACCAGTGTAAACATAACTAAGCGACAACAAATGTTCTGTCTTCTCCACCATTGGAGTTGGAGTTTGCATGATTTGAGGATACAATTTTCAAATTTAAACAGTGTTCACAATATCTACCCCAAACTCCATTATTTCATCAGTACCACATTACAAAGAAGGATATTAAAGAAATCCATTATTTTTTAGGTTTTTTACTGTGAAGAACACACATCGTTGAACTCACTGGAAAGAAAACGAGGGTTTCATCTCGCTTTGAAGAAATTGAAGAATTTTCCTATGAAGAACACAGATAGCCACCTATCTTTTTAACACATTTTTCATCACGTCCATAACTAACAAATTATTAATAATGATAGAAAAATTATGTAGAAGCAGTGAGACATTATCACTATTGCTAGTATTAATGTCATATTGCAATAGTTATAATGTTACACTGCAATAGTAATAATATCACATTGCATAGTGATAATATCTAATTATATTATAGAATGTGAAGTCCACAAAAAAAAAAAAATTGAATCTCAAGTGATATTTTGGGATAAACAGAAGAAGAAGTAGTTTAAAATTCAAACATGTTGTCCCAAAAAAAATAAGAAATTGAATCTCACAATTCAATGTCTTAAAAACCGTTCATAATTAATGAAAAAAAGCAATTATGCAAATGAAATATTTAGAAAATAGCTAATGTGTATATACTCAAAACGCATTCCTTAAAAAAAAAGACTTATACACAAAAGAGAATCTATATGATACTTCCCACGGATATATCGTACATAATATATACCTATCCACAATTTTTTCATAATAAAATGCAAAACTCAAGTCTGGCCTGTTTAAACACTTATAGGGGCCGGACCGACTTGATAAGTAACCCGCTGAAGACCCACCCATTAGTATCGGTCTTTCAATTGACTGCCCGGGCCAACCCGTTGGCTGCCCATAAAGGGTAATACAGTAATATAAGCATGGTATACCTCACCATTATGAAATGCATTTGTAAATCTGATCAAAACACACATCGCTAGCATGATCCAGAATGGGTTGGTGGCGGATTAATTTAATTCCACGAATTGTGTATTTACTTGGTCGATTACATCATCGACCATTATATGAGAAAACGATTGGATTCTAGTAGTGGAAAACACGGTAGGATCACGCAAAAATACGCCGTGCCGTGCCGTGACAAGATTAAGATTAAATGTAACGTAGTTTTTGTTGTTTTTATAAGGTGTTTAAATTTGTGTCGAATATTCTCTCAAATTCAGATGCTGGCTGCCGTTGTTCGAACAATTTTAAAACATGTGCCTCCTGAGAATTAAGTGTTGAACGTGAGATCTCTAAATTATCAGAGTACAGACTCAATAACTTAATTACACCTACGGGTTGACCAAGAATAATGTTAGACCGATTAAAAGGGAGATTAAAAAATAAAGATTAAATGATGTGATATTATCACAAAGAAAATATTATTTGAATCTAAAAATCTGACATAATTTTGCTGACCTAATAACGTGGTTTCATTAGAATCATTGGATAAATACCAAATTCTAATGTTTGATGGAGCCCACAGTTAATCCAAAAATCATAGTGAATTAGGTCAATAAATTTGATCTCAATAGTATTGCTCTTATCACAATAGTAGTGTTGGTTCCACTTTTATACATTCACAAAGTAATTTTTTTTTCATTATGGTACTAATACAACATATTTGATCATTTTTTTGTTTGTTTGTTTGTTTGTTTTGGGTATGAATCTATCATTACTCGGAAGACTAATCCACCCTTAAGTGATTGGTATGGAAAACTTTGGGTATGAATCTATCATTACTCGGAAGACTACTCCACCCTTAAGTGATTGGTATGGAACTTTAGAATAATATTAAGTCATTGATTAGAATGACTACGAAAGAGAGAATATTCTTATTTCTCACCTAACAATGAACTTCCAATAGCCCCACTGACCCATTAAATTAAATTATCATTAAAGTCCGATAATCATATCTTTTTTTTACTACCAAAAAAAAAAAACAGAAAAAAGAAAAATCACCAATCAAGTGTTAAGCTCGTCTTTAGAATTCAAATCCAAATACTCACAATTATCAGTAAATCAAGTGCTTCAAGTAAATGAGGAATTTGTTTGTGATGAAAATCGAATTTGTAACCTTGCGAAGATTACACTCGAAAATTTTCTATTCAGGCTATCATTATTAGGTTGTCCACAGCAAGAACTCGATATTGTCGCATATTAATTTGTACTTGTTAGTTCAATATTCAAATAAGATAAAACATAAACTTTTATTTTTTCAGTTTAAAATCTTTACTTGGTTACTGATATAAAAATTCAGCGTTATCGATGCACATTATGCATGATAAAATGACAAGGGCGGTTTAACAGCATTAGAAAAAAGTTTAGATTTTATGTCTCAAATTTTTAGAAGGCCCATAATTGTAAGTATATTATTAACCCCAAAAAAATTAAATTCTTTAAATTTTAAACTCTAAAAAAGGGCCCTAAAAATTAGTATAGTTAAAATTTTTATTATAATAATTTAGGTCCATGATTCAATTCATAACATTAAAAACCTAAAAATCATAAATTAAAAAAAATAAAAAATACTTAAAAATCAACTCATATTTACTCCTACACTCCTTTCTTCTTGAAAAATAAGTAAAAAATATTAAAAAAAAGTTAAAATTAAACTATCTCTCCAATAAAAAATAAAAACAAAAATTAAAAATTTTTTCGGTAACACTAGCATGTTCTTTTTTTTTTTTTTTCTCTCACATAATAAATAAAAATAAATTAATTTTTAAAAAATTAACTATAAGTCTTAGTAATCGTAGTTGTAAGATTCCTAAGTAAAAAAATATATATTCTACTTCTTCCCACATATGCCTATCCCTATATCCAGTAACTCATGCCATCTTCATTCTTCACCCTTACCCTTCAAACAGTACATGGCAACAAGAAAAGCTTTGGCAAGCATAGACGAACTGACAAAGGTGAAAGCAGCATCATGGGCGTGGTATCAACGTGGATCAGGGTCCGATGGCCGGCCGTTTCGCGAGTACGATCTTACACCGGCAAGTAGAGCTCCGACACCATCCCGGTAC